GACCAAGGCTTTGTGACAAAGACTGTTTGTGTTGGAGAAGATGTGATTCTAACATGTAGCCGCCAGTCTGGATTAGCAGGTGTCTTATTTTGGATGAGAGTTGTTGCTGGAAACTTCCCTGAAATCTTAGGAGCAACTTATACTTTTGATAGTGCAGTTGTTAATAAGGCTCCTCGCATTACAACCAAAGAGGAGCCTGGAGTATTTGTTCTACATATTACCCAAACAGAGCTGAGTGATGCTGCATTATACTACTGCCAACAAGTGGTTGAACTAAAGATGACATTTTTGAATAAAAGCTTACTGAGAGTCAAACGTAAGTGAAGCAGTATACACTACATTCACTTTCAAACTTCAGTTTGAAACAATTACCTTGAATAAGCAGTTGACTATTTACCAAACATTCTACGAAAATATTGTCATTTCCCAGGACCAGAACCTGATTTCACTGCCGTCACTCAAGACCTACCATCTGATCCAGTCCATCCAGGAGACTCAGTGACTCTGCAGTGTTCAGTCCTCTCTGACTCATATAACAAATCATGTCCAGGAGATCACAGTGTGTTTTGGTTCAAAGCTGGATCTCATGAATCTCATCCCAATGTCTTTGTCTCCCGGACCTGCAACCAAATCTACCTTCGGGTATTAATAAAGTTACCTTGACCCTTGAACCTTGAATGTCTTTTATGCTCATGGAAACAGTGTTGAGTGTGAGAAGAGTCCTGAAGCTGGATCTCCACAGATATGTGTCTACAGCTTCTCTAAGAATGTCAGCTCCTCTGATGCCGGGACTTATTACTGCGCTGTGGCCACATGTGGAGAGATATTATTTGGAAATGGAACAAAACTGGACATTCAAGGTAACAACCATTTTGCATATTTAATCTGTTAGAAGTCAATATATGATATGTACAATTTTACCAAGAGGAAGCATTAAAGATTAATGCCACACTTTTAACCCTTGTTAACTTTGCGATTTGTTTTTCTTAATATTTCAGCCTCCAACATGTCGCCTGGTGATTGTCACACAGTCAAAACAGTTCTGTGTCTGTCGTGTGCTGCTTTGGCTATAAGTTTGTTTGTTATAGTCTTTCTGATTTACACCATCAAGACAAAGAAGTGCAATTGTTGTAATGGTAATAAAACTCACTTCATTCTATCATTCATTTTCCAGTTCCAGTTTGCCTGTCTGCTGCTGCTTTCTGCCACTGCGCTCTCTCAGAATGCCAGCGTTGCTCCATGTTACAGGAAGTTCATAGAACAGCATATCAATAGGCATATGAGTGTTACCAGGTGTGACCAGGTGATACAAAGAAGAGGCATTACCCTAATCGACAGCAATCTGTGTAAGGAGACCAATACCTTCATCCGTGCCACCACTAACCATGTCAGAGCCATTTGTGGTCAAGCAGGAGAGCCATATGGTGTCATGACCAAAAGCTGCCCACCCTTCGACATTGTTGTCTGTACACTGAGAAACCAAGGGGCCAGGCGCCCCCACTGTCAGTACAACGGTCAAGCTTGAACCAGGAGAATTGCAATCAGATGTGAGCAAGGCTTTCCTGTGCACTTTGACAGAGACATAGTACACTTTGATTACTGATTTAAACAGCTGCTGTGTGCCTTTGTTTCCTGTTGAATAAAATACATTTGACTGCTTACAGTTGTTTGTCTTTTTTATAGTCATGTGTAATAATTGACAGTAAGGTTTGATAAACATTGGAAACAAGATCAATAATAATGTTTATATTGGTCATTGACCTTTTCCTAGAAGCCACTGCTAATTCTCTTTTTTGTAGCAGTGGCTGTAAAGGCCAGTCTCTTTACCAGAGACGTTCAGTCAGTAATGACCAATAAGATCCACATGCATTGTGGTTTTAAAAATGGAAATTAGCTCCCTTTATCTTCTGCATGTAAAATGCACCTGCATGACACGTGGCACACAATACAGAGTCTTTTTGATGTGACTGTTTAATCTCTTTCTCATATACAAATCTTGCGAGGGAAGCCTGAGATAAAGTAGACTTATGGAGTAAGTTTTTAGATGATGGTTTGTCCTGTAATGATGATGTTTAAAAGCAGCAGCCAATTCACAGCTGAAGGTCCCTGTCTATTTCTTATAAACAGAAAATGTTGAGTTTTCACCATCAGTAACTCATCATGACTCCTATACAGCTGAAAATGAACATGAAGCAGATATCTGAAAGTACAAACGCAGGAGAGAAACTAAAGTTGAAGCCGCAGACATTCAGTTAGACACAGACGACCAAGGCTTTGTGACAAAGACTGTTTGTGTTGGAGAAGATGTGATTCTAACATGTAGCCGCCAGTCTGGATTAGCAGGTGTCTTACTTTGGATGAGAGTTGTACCTGGAAACTTCCCTGAATTATTAGGAGCAACTTATACTTTCGATAGTGCAATTGTTAATAAGGCTCCTCGCATTACAACCAAACAGGAGCCTGGAACATTTGTTCTACATATTACCTAAACAGAGCTGAGTGATGCTGCATTTTACTACTGCCAACAAGTGGTTGAACTAAAGATGGCATTTCTGAATAAAGCCTTACTGAGAGTCAAGGGTAAGTGAAGCAGTATACACTTTGCTGATAGCAAACATTCACTTTCCAACTTCAGTTTGGAACAGTTACCTTGAATAAGCAGTTGACTACTTACCAAACATTCTACAAAAATATTGTGTCATTTCCCAGGACCAGAACCTGATATCAGTGCCGTCACTCAAGACCTACCATCTGATCCAGTCCGTCCAGGAGACTCACTGACTCTGCAGTGTTCAGTCCTCTCTGACTCAGAACAAAACATGTCCAGAAGATCACAGTGTGTTTTGGTTCAAAGCTGGATCTCATGAATCTCATCCCAATGGTTTTGTCTCCCGGAACTGCAACCAAATCTACATTTGGGTATTAATAAAGTTACCTTGACCCTTGAACCTTGAATGTCTTTTATGCTCATGGAAACAGTGTTGAGTGTGAGAAGAGTCCTGAAGCTGGATCTCCACAGACATGTGTCTACAGCTTCTCCAAGAACGTCAGCTCCTCTGATGCCGGGACTTATTACTGCGCTGTGGCCACATGTGGAGAGATATTATTTGGAAATGGAACAAAACTGGACATTCAAGGTAACAACCATTTTGCATATTTAATCTGTTAGAAGTCAATATATGATATGTACAATTTTACCAAGAGGAAGCATTAAAGATTAATGCCACACTTTTAACCCTTGTCAACTTTGCGATTTGTTTTTCTTAATATTTCAGCCTCCAACATGTCGCCTGGTGATTGTCACACAGTCAAAACAGTTCTGTGTCTGTCGTGTGCTGCTTTGGCTATAAGTTTGTTTGTTATAGTCTTTCTGATTTACACCATCAAGACAAAGAAGTGCAATTGTTGTAATGGTAATAAAACTCACTTCATTCTATCATTCATTTTCCA